ATTTTTGCTGCATGGATTATTGTCGCTATGCGGGGCACCACTGTACTTCTTTAAAATGATAACAGAATTCTTCTACCCAAAATTCTTCAGAAAGAGAAGACTTGCTCCTATTGTATCATTGATGCATTTGTTCATTGCTCCTAGATTAATTTGCAGATCCCCCCTTCTTCTCCACTAAATTAAAATTTTTAAATAGATACCTTTCCATATGTTGTTTTCATTTTATTTGTATGAGCATATGGACCAAACTAAGGGTGCTATCAGATGGAGATATAGCTCTCATTTTGGACTGCTGGTGGCAAATTCTGGTGCAAGTTATTCTCCGGTAGTCACACAACATGTAGGAGATGGTGAACCAGTGCAACCCTAATCTGTGTCCAGGCTGAACCTCTTTGGTCCTGCCACAGAAATACTCTCTCTTATTTTGGAGATAGGCTGGAGTGAATCCTGTATGGACAAAAGGGTCATTTTAAAGCAAATTGCTCCCAGGAAAGAAATGCTTTTTAGCACAATCAGCTTTATTGTGATATGATTGTGCCTTAACTGAAAGATGGAAATGGGGGGGGAGGAGTCTAGTGAAATGAAAAGGAACATAGGGCTGATTTTCAGAAAGTGACAAAAGAAAGGGAACACTATATTCTGTTCAAAATTTCTATCACTCTGTCATGTTTTTTCTCAGACAATTCCATCCCCCTCCATTCCACCCCACCCTTCACATTCTGTTTCCACCTTGAAAAGCCAGTACAGTGGTGCCCTGCATAATGAGTGATTTGTTTAACGACGAATCTGCACAGCAATGTGTTTTTTGCGATCGCATAACGATGTTTTATGATTGGTAAGCGTTTCGCTTACCGATTTTCGCATTGCGATGTTTTTTTAAACATCGGATCGGCGGTTCCAAAATGGCCGCTGGGTTAAAAAATGGCCGCCCACTGTGTTTTTGCACCCTTTCCTCGCTTACCAGGCAGCGAAAATGGCAGCTGCATGGAGGATCTTCGCATAACGGTGAGTTTTTTTGCCCATAGGAACGCATTAAATGTGTTTTAATGCGTTCCTATGGGCTTTTCTGCCCCGCATAGTGACGAACCCATATAGTGACGATTTTTTGGAATGGATTATCGTTGCTATGCGGGGCACCACTGTATTCCATAGCTACCAAGCACACATTGTCTGCATTAGAGATGGGGGTATTTGTATTTGTATATGAATATGAATCCCCCCACACTGGTGGACATAACGAGGTTCCAGATGCCTGGGGCCAGACCATCTACTTACCTTCCGCTGTTGCTGCGGGTTCCATGCTCCCTTCCTATCACTCTGGAGCTCGCAGTTTGCAAGCCACTCTTTCATAGCTACCAAGCACACATTGTCTGCATTAGAGATGGGGGTATTTGTATTTGTATATGAATATGAATCCCCCCACACTGGTGGACATAACGAGGTTCCAGATGCCTGGGGCCAGACCATCTACTTACCTTCCGCTGTTGCTGCGGGTTCCATGCTCCCTTCCTATCACTCTGGAGCTCGCAGTTTGCAAGCCACTCTTTGACCTTGCAGCGAGGCTTGTCCTCCCACCTCCTGCCAGGAGTATCTCACAGACCACAAGCTCCGGAGAGATAGGAAGGGAGTGCGAAGCCCACAGCAACAATGTCCAGCTATGCAGGGTATTCATGTTCATATACAAATATGATACCTCCATCTCTAGTCTTCATTTAATCCTCACCTGCTCTCAGTTCACCAATTCCATTAGGTCCTTTCAGTCCTTACTCCCACCCATAAAAATCCTTGCTGATATCTTGCAGGTACTTTCATGTTGTTCATGGGCAATACCCTTTTAGCTACATAAGGACCCCCAACTTAATAATGAGGTCACAATTAGCATATGGACTGGAAGAAACCCTCTCAGCTCTTATTTGTCTAAATGGTTTTGACCAAATTGTTATGACTTTCAGGTGTAGCATCCAGACTTCTGGTATTTCAGTCAAAAATGATTGACCTGCCATCCCTTCAGCTGCTTATATCTGGATGTGGGAAAATCGTACACAATTCAATCAACCACTCTGGAACTGCTATAGTAAGTAAACTGAGATGTGGGCTCATCCAAATAAATTAAATGGCAGATTTGGTGATGGCATTCCACTGTGCAATTTAAGATATTTTTTTCACCTGATTTGTTTTCCAGGTGTTTTTGGCTACTTTGTTGCTCCTTATCAATAAAATGATAAAAGAGCATTACAAAATATCAATGAGGACAAAAACAAATTCTGCTTGATTCTTTCGAAGAATCAACGATCAATAATGGAGAATGTCGGATCCATCTGAAGGAGTCAAAGTAATTATAAGGAATGGGTTGGGCTCCCAAGAGGAATCTGGAATTCATAATATTTTGAGTCTATGTATCACTTTGTTTTATTTTCAATAGGCTCCAACTATGAGCAAGAACAATCAGACAATGGCCAGTGAATTCATCCTTTTGTCCTTTTCCAACCTTAGCCAGCTCCAAATTCTTCTCTTTATTGGCTTTCTTCTTTCCTATCTGACCGCTTTGCTGGGAAATTTCCTCATAATTTTCTTAACGAACATGGACAGCACCCTGCACAGTCCTATGTACTTTTTCCTCCAAACCCTATCCTTGGCAGAAGTTGGATTCATGTCAACTATCATCCCTAAGCTGCTTGTGAACCTTCTGTCCAAGAAAAAGACCATCTCCTTATTGGGATGCAGGGCACAGATACATTTTGTTTTTTTCTTTGGAAGCCTGGAATGTTTTATATTAATAGTCATGGCATATGATCGCTTTGTTGCCATATGCAACCCTCTCCACTATAAAGTCATAATGAACAAGAAGTTCTGCATGCTGCTGGTGGCAGCTGTATGGGCCGCAGGATTCCCTATTGCAACCATAGAGAGCACGTGGGTGCTCAGTTTCCCATTTTGTAAATCCAATGTAATTTCTCATTTCTTCTGCGATGTTCCACCAGTTCTCCAGTTGGCCTGTGCAGACACGTCCAGATTTGAGGTGTTTTCCCACATAAAAGATTTTATACTTTTCCTTTGCCCCTTCACACTTATCGTGATCTCCTATGTTCATATTATCAGCACCATCCTGAGAATGCCAACAGTCGAGGTGAGATGGAAAACTTTCTCCACCTGCTTTTCACATATTACTGTTGTCACTCTGTTTTACGGGTCAGCTGGTTTGTCTCACTTTCAGCCTAGAGCCTATCATTCAGGGAACAGACATTTGCTTTCCCTCTCTTATGTGGTCTTCACACCGATGTTAAACCCTTTCATTTATAGCCTACGGAACAAGGAAATGAGAGAAGCCTTAAGCAAGCTGAGCAGAAAAAAAATATGCTGCCACTCCTATGCCGTCTAAAATGGTGTGTGAATATCAGGAGAGCCATGCTGGGTCAGTTCAAGGGCATATCTATTTCAATATTCCTTTTCAAAAGTAAATATCAGCTTGCAAACTTTTTTAAGCAGTGGTATTTTTAAATAAAGAAGGGACGTGGCGGCTCTGTGGGCTAAACCGCAGAAGCCTGTGCTGCAGGGTCAGAAGACCAAGCAGTCGTAAGATCGAATCCATGTGACGGAGTGAGCTCCCGTTGCTTTGTCCCAGCTCCCGCCAACCTAGC